CATCTTCTTTATACATAGTAACTCACTGAGAGATTCACAAGGGCCCTTCAGTTTCATCCTGAAGCAAAAAGAGTTGTCTGAAATGTGTTGTAAATGGGAATTAAAGTGTTGAGGTTATTATAGTACCTTGTTATTTCAAACAGCCAACATAATAAACTTTCAGAAAGGTTATCATGGAAACCCAGGGGATGCTTTCCAAAGAAAGTTCTGAAGGGGTTTTACTGCATGCTTAAAATATGTGCTGGAGGACGAAAGATGCAGAGGAGTTTTCCCATTACCTATCTGCTGGATCTAAATCAGAGTTGAAATAACTTTTCTAAATAGGACTGTATCACAGTACTGAGATTGGCTAGGCTGGGTATGCAAGGTGTTCAGTCATTTAAGCCTTGTCTGACTCCCTTTTCGGGGCTTTCCCGGCAGAGATATTAGAGTGGTTTGCCATTTTTCTACTCCAGCTTATTTTATGGATGAGAAAACTGAAGCAAACAAACTTAAGTGACTTGCCCAGGGTCACACAGCTGGGAAGTGTCTGAGGCCAGATTTGAACTCAGAAAGATGAGTTTTCCTGACTCCAGGACAGTCAATCTATCCACTGTGCCACTTAGCTGCCTACTGAGACTGGATAATTATTTCTCAAGTCTATAATCATAATGCAGGATCTTCCATATCTCTATATCTGTATGTCTTATTTCTAGTAGTTCCTCACATATAACCCTCCCATGACTGGCATGAACTCCTTCCTCATTTCCATCACCTACAGTCCCTGGTTTCCTGGAGTTCAAGCTTCACCTCTACCCCTTTCTTGATCAATTCCCCTAGCCATACTAGTGCCTTTTCCTTTAAATTACCTTGTGTTTGTTTTCCATAAATTTTTTAAAAATACTTCTGGCTATGCTCCCTCCCCCAAATGGAATATGTTTGTCGGGGCAGGAAGTCCTTCATTTTTTTCTCTTAGCATCTCCACTCCCCAGCACAGCATGACATGCTTAGTAAGTGCTTGAGGGTCAATTGATAGTTAGACTATAGGCTGTAAGTCAGGAATCTTTGGAAAAGACTTGAACTAGACAGGAAGTGATCATAAGGAAATGCTATTTGGGAAGTAATCTTGAACGGGTTGGTACTAAGTAGTGTCCTGATGTCTTGGAGACTAACCTTTCCCCAAGATCACATTCAGAATTCTAAAGTTATGTTATATCATCATGATGTTATATCCCAAGACAAAATTGCCAAAGGTAACAGGTCACTCATGTCCCCTTCTAACTACGAAAAGGAATGAAGATTACAATATCGATGACGAAGGAAATGCCCAGTTGATTTCTAGGGTAGCTCAAGCTGGTTTAGGTGCCCCAACAAGGACCCAGTTCCCCAATCCATTGAATGAAGGAAATTGAAGAATCAAGCACTACCTGAACACAAAAAGCATAGGAATGAAAAGCACTGTGTTCCCATTTTATTAAATTATAAAGGTTCTCCTTTTCGTACCACTCAGCCCCAAGCCTGAGAGTCGAGAGGGGATATACCAACATGTGCTGGTTCATGACTGCCACGATGTTTCAAAGCAAGGTGGGGGCAAGGAATTCATGGCACTGCCTTAAACAGAAGCCTTAGGGAGGCCAATTGTGTCAGACAATCATTTTGCCAATGCCCTTGGTTGCATGCCTTCTGATTTTCCTGCAGAACTCACTGTCATGAGACTCCTGCCTTCAGTTAGCTCCCTACTTTCTCTTTACCCCTTGAACTTTGACAGTCCCAAGCTGACCCAGCCAGGCCTCTGGCTTACATTCTCATTTGAATATGTATTTGGATCTAGGGAAAAACATATTTTTGGAGAAAAATTTTTTTCTCAAGGTCTAGTGATTGCTCCAATAACCAGCAAGTTTTGGATCTGAAATGAGAGCTCTGATAATGTCACTCTTACTTTTTTAATATGAATCTTTGACTTTGATCTCTTTATTCAAAATCAGTGTGGTAGGAAACTTTCACAATGTTATGCAAGGTTAGTATTACAAGAAGAGCATGGAATAAACATTGGACCAGAAATCAAGAAAACTGTGTTATAGTCCTGGTTCTGTCATTAGCTAAGTATATGACCTTGGACCTTTATCTCTCTGCATCTGAGCTGCTCCATACCGTAAACGAAGGTGTTGAGTATACTGTTTCTTTAAGGTCCTTTTCATGTAGAGTAGTTAATGCTGAAAAGGACTGAAAAGTATTTTTCAATGAAGTAAGAGATTTAGATTAATTGTTAAAAGATGAAAATTATTGTCACTATTACAGATGAATGTTTTGATACCTAATGTGAGCAGAAAATAATTGTGTTTTAATATAAAATGTTAAATATATGTATAAAGAAACATCTTTCAGATGGAATTTTGAGCATTTATGGAGAAGAAATAAACTTATGGGAAAAATTTGAGGGCTGATTTCTTTATTAGCCATGTGGAGGGAACCCTCACTTATGTGAGAACAGCTTAAGACTGTAAAGGGATTTTAAAAAAATCTTTTATTTATTAAAAACTAGAGAAATATCAGTGTAAAGAAATATCATTTCAAGGGCAACAAAGAGACAGAATGCCTTGGAGGGATATGAGAGGAGAAATGAATGGTACCTCCCCTTGTTTGTATATACATGTTTTATGACTAAAGAGATTAAAACTAAGAAAATGAGAAATCATAAACATTTGGAGGCCAAGATATGATTGAAACAAGATTATTGATCTGATAGGAGAAATGTGGGGAGTTAAGACTTTTTATGTAAAAGGTAAGACACTGTGGGACAGCTAGGTGGTGCATTGAATAGAACATTGGCCCTGGAGTCAGGAAGACCTGAGTTCAAATCCAGCCTCATAACATTCACTAGCTGTGTGAATCTGGGCAAGTCACTTGACCCCAATTCACATACACACACACACACACACACACACACACACACACACACACAAGGTAAGTTACTGAGAGTCAGGATGCTCTCATGAAAGCATTAAACACTGAAGGGTTTAATCAAGGGAATGTCAGAGGAATAGTTCAGAGAAAAGAGCAGTGGAAGGGGACCCAAAAGAGCAGACACAGAAAGGGGACTGAAAAGCTGCTCTGTTGGAACTCTGGCATTAGAAGCAGTCAGATGAAAGAAGGCTTCAGCTAAGTGATTTCTGATTGGTCAGAAAGAATTGACATCATTATCTAAGATCTCCCTTGACAGCTGTAGCACTTCAGCACTGTCTAGAGCTGGAGGAAAGGCAAAGATTCTGTAAGGGTTTATTGTCACTACTTTGGTACCTTGGTGAATGGAACTGTGCTGATCTGAGCTCTACCCTGATTGAACAGCACAACAAACATCCAGGGTGGGAAGAGTTGGTTGGGTTGTTCTGTAGAGACAGCCTGATGAGCTTGGCAGTTGTTTGACTTAAGTATACTTGCTCTTTACATTAAGAATTGATGCTTTCTATATATCCTTTTAAAGGTTATGGTTAGGGGGCAGCTAGGTGGCACAGTGGATAGAGCACTGGCCCTGGAGTCAGGAGGACCTGAGTTCAAATCTGGCTTCAGACACAATATACTTACTAGCTGTGTGACCCTTGGCAAGTCATTTAGCCCTGATTGCCACACACACACACACACACACACACACACACACACACACACACATGATAAAAAAATAAAGGTGATGGTTAACTGAAAGAGCTTGTAAAGGCTATTTTTGAATAGAAAAAGGAAGATAATTTTCCCAGTAGTGAGAAGCAACACTCAAGTAGGGAGTGGAGAAGTAGTTTCATGTGGTACAAACATTCCCAAATGGGGGAGTAACATTGAAGGCTGAAGTTTGGAATTCAGTTCCCCTAAACACGAGGTTTCCTTCCTCATGTTCCTATAAATATGTGCCCACTCTTCATCATTGCTGTTGGTTGCATTGTTGGAAGTGTGATCTAGATTTTTATATGTATATTGTGATGTATTTTATTATTTTTGTATTCACTTTAATAATTTGGTATCTATAATGTTATTTCTTTTGCCTTATATAAATGGCAATATTTAAGATCTAAAAGGGTCTTTATAATGAGTAGCTGATTGGGTTGATAGAAAAATAAAAGGTATCCCAAAGATCTTAATGCATGTTTAAGTTTTTTTTTGTTTTTTTTTTGTCAGGCAATTGGGGTTAAGTGACTTGCCCAGGGTCACACAGCTAATGAGTATCATGTGTCTGAGGCCAGATTTGAACTCAGGTCCTCCTGACTCCAGGGCCAGTGCTCTATCCACTTCACCACCTAGCTGCCCCTCGTGTTTAAGTTTTTATAGCTTAAGATCTCTTTAAGATCTTTGGGATACACTATATATCTGATGGGTGCTCAATTTATAGAAAGTATTGTGGTGGGAAGGTAAAGTATATTTCCTCTTCATAGGTTTACCCTTGGGATTCTGGGAGAATTTGTATGTAAGCATGTAGTGGTCATCGGTTGCTGGGAACTTAGCCCTGTTAGTGTGAGAACAGGATGGAGGAGTAAGCAAAATCTAGACAGTTGTGACATGTTTCTCACTCACCAAGGTAAGATGTGGAGAAGTCCCAAGTAAGACATTATGCAGGTGCTTCTACTTCACATTAGGCTTTTGACCCTACTGTAACACCCTTGTCTCATTACATTGTGGTGACAATGGAGGAGACCAGATTTAAAAAAAAAAAAACTTTTTATCTATGGCACAAAGGAATTAGATGACATGACTTTGAAGGTACCCTCCAGTTTTAAATTATTTGAAATGAATCTATAATACCGCAGTCTATAATAATAGGAACTTAGAGAAAGCAAGGAATTTGGAGTTTGGGGGGTGGGGAAATAATAAATTACAGTCATGTCTTTGGTTGATTTAAGCTAAAATAGATGGAATTTATTGAATAGCTACTACATTTTTAGGTCCTTTCATGAAAATCATTGGGAAAATGAACACTATTATGAAATATCTCAAATCATCTAGTTTTGTTGTTTTTTTTTTTTAATAACCAAACTTACCTTGACAGAGCAAAGGCATCATCAAAAAAACTTGCCCGATCACCAGAAGAAAACACCTGGGAAGGAAAGAAGAAAAAGTAAGGAGTATATACCTAAATGAAAAAAAAAAGTAACCATACCCTCAAAACAAAATTAAAACAAGTCATCAACTTCTATATCTCACCGAGTGGTTGCTGAGAAGCTCTGTAGCTATTGTATTCCAAGTTGACACTTCATAATTTACACGATAAAATCCAATATGGTCTGGGTTTATCTTTGTAAAAGTATTTCCACTGGAATTAGGGTTCAAAACGATTCCTGGAGTAATAAATAAAAACTAATGAGAAACATGTTTGCATATATTATAAACACTTAGAAATTAGATCCAATACAGAGGAAGAGGAAAGAAGGAAGGAAGAAAAGAAGCAAGGAAGGAAGAAAGAAAGGAAAGGAGGAGGTAGACAGGAGAATGTAGGAGAAAGAAAGATGAAAATGAAGGACAGAAGGAAAAGAGAAGAAAAAAGAAGAGAAAAAATAAGTAAGAATACAAATTAACTTTATATCAAGGAGTCAATTCTGATTTTGATCCAAAGCTCTGAAGCCTAATTCTTATTTAGTTGCCTAACTGGAGAATGTCCCTGGAGTGTGTAAGTTGAAAAAGAAATATCTAATGTGCATAGGTGTTCTGTAATATATGGCTTCAACTTCCTGCTAGCAGAAGCTGATAATGCTTTTAAAGAGAGGTGGGGGTGAAACCTGGGCCTTCTGGGGGCAATCCATACAGTTCTAGTCATAATGGATTAGCCAATTAAAAAATATTCACTGGAACAGCCTAGAAAGGGTAGACATGTAAAAACTCAAAACAACATTATATTTATTAAAATCAACATTCAGATCAATGGAAAAGGGTTTCTGTTAAGGAGAATAAATATTTAAGAATTAGTTTTACACTTAAAACTTGTCAAGGATGCCTGAAACCATACTCAAATCCAAATATATACAATGATTTGGATTTGAATAATCCATATTTATTTGTTTACCCCATTATATTCCTTAAAAATAAGTTTTTAACTTCTGTTGGGTAATATCATAGAGTTTCTTTAGTAAATTACCAAATTAATATCGTAGAATTTCTTTAGTAAATTACCAAATTAATATCATAGAGTTTCTTTAGTAAATTACCAAATTAATGTAGAATTTCTGTAGTAAATTACCAAATTCATATCATAGAATTTCTTTAGTAAGTTACCAAATTAATATCATAGAATTTCATTAGTAAATTACCAAATTAAGTTTCATTCTTAAGTGTTTCAGTTGCTCTGATATACACATTTTAGAAACTCAACATTTGGGCCTAAGTAAAAGAAAATGGTTCATGTTTTGTCATTATTAAAAATAATTTTGATCAGTCTTTGTCAGGACTTGATCTGTATCCATGAGATTCTAACACAATTCATAAGTAACCTACCTGCTCTTTTGCTTATGAGTGCCTTGCCCTATCAAAATGTTGCTCTCCATTTTAAAATACCTTTTCCAAATGAAAAAGTTGGATTCTTTTCGGGGAATTCTCAGTTAACCTTACATCTTTCAGAAAAAATGGGAACCTCAAGAACAAGGGTGGGGAACCTGTGGCCTTGAGGCCACATGTGACCTTCTAAATCCTTAAGAATAAAAAGGATTTGTTCTGTAAAATTTGGATTCAGTCAAAAGGCTGCACTTAAGGGTTTAGAAGGCCACATGTGGCCTTAAGGCTGCAAGTTCCCCATCCCTGTTCTACCTGCTCTAGAACTAGTTCCATTAGACAAGAGAACATTTCACTATTTCTATGCCTAAGTAGGAAACAAAATAAAAATAATGACACCTGAAAATGAGAGGTGCCTTCTTGAAGGGTTTCAAGTCATGAAGGGTTCTTATTGTGATGTGTTTTTCTATTGTAACAAAAGAAAGTAGGAGCAGCTAGGTGGTGCAGTGGATAGAGCACTGGCCCTGAAGTCAGGAGGACCTGAGTTCAAATCTGGCTTCAGACCAAAAGACTTGACACTTACTAGCTGTGTGACCCTGGGCAAGTAGCTTAACCCCAATTGCCTAAAAACAAAACAAAAAAAAAAAGTAGAGGGAGTGGAGGAAACAACTCAAGATCCAGTTGAGTTATCTGAAAGGATATGCAAATCCTTCATTACATGACTCTGCTAAGCTACTGAAAGCATTCTCCCATGGACAACCATGCTGAAAGTCAGTAGGAATAGGTAGTAAGGCTTTAGCTATTGACTTTCTGATTTCAACCATAAAATGAGAATAATCACAGTAACCTTAGCAGGGCTTAATTCAATGAGTTTAGAGCATTGTGGAATACCATATTATTAGAGTATATAATACTATATACTATTATTTCGTGGATTATCAGGCAACTCCCAGACATTGTTGATAATTGTACGACTTTTTTCCAGAAAAAATAACATGGGTACCTTTCACCAAACATGTTTTACAAAAAAGGACCCAACTGATGCCAGATTGAAAATATGACACTGAAAACGGACTGGCTTCCTGTCAATAATTTGCATACTCATCACAGAGTGTAAAAGGAGAGTAATGTGTAATTAGGAGGCTTTTGCAATAGTCTAAGTGAGATGTGATGAAAGCCTAGACCAAGGACAGGAGTGCGCTGCTAAATGTTTAACAACCAGGTAAAAATGTTTGCATGATACACTTTTAAATTTAATCTGCCTTGTTAACATTTTCTCCATTATTTTTAAAGTCTAGACAGTTAGCAAAACAACAAATCAAGGCCTGATTTGTGCAAGATTTCAAGGTGTAAATGCTCACGCTGAAAAATTTAACTATTGTCTGGCTCTAGCACACCCCTGACTAGAGAGGCTGTGGTATGAGTAGAGAGAAAGGAGTGCATGTTGAGGAGGTGGAATGACTAAGATTCAGCAATTGATTAGATTGGAAGGAATGAATGAGAGTTAATTAGTGATGATGACCTCCAGGTTGTAAATCTGGGTAAGTGGAAGGATTATATATAGCTAAAGCAGAAGCATTTTGCTAAATGTTTAGTAATTGACTTTCTAGGAAAAAAATGTGCTCATGAAACTCTTTTAAACTTTAATCTCCATTATTAACATTGTCTCCATCACTTTCTTAAGTCTAGAGTGATGATCAAGAAGATAATAAACCATGCCTTTATGTGTAGCATAGGCTGATTTCTGAGTTGTAAACAAATGATGAAAATTTATCAAGCAGCTCTTGTGAGCCTGTGTGAGCTGATTCTAGCATATTTTTGGTCATAAGATTTTTTTGTTGTTGTTCAGTTGTGTCCAACTCTTCATAACCCCATGAACCATAGCATGCCAGAACCTTCTATCCTCTACCATCTCTTGAAGTCTGTCCAAGATCACATTCCATGACATTATCTATCCATCTCATCCTCTGCCATCCCCTTTTCCTTTTGCCTTCAATCATTCCCAACATCAGGGTCTTTTGCAATGAGTCCCGTCTTCTCATGTGGCGAAAGTATTTATTTAAGCTTCAGCTTTAGAATTTGTCCTTCCAATAAAGTGTCAATAGAGCTGTAGTGGCCTTCCACAAAAAAAAACAAACAAGTTAGGAGGAGGAGGAAGTTTTTTTATGGTTAGGTAATAAGTTCCAATTCAGAGAGGCTGAGTTTGGGATGCCTATGAGAAATCCAGGCAGAGGTATCTGGTAGGCAATGGGAGCATAGTGATATGTTAATGTGGGAGTCATTTACATAGTTATGGTAATTGGGAATATATGAGATCACCAAGAGAAAAAGTGTAGAGGGACAAGTAGAGAAGGTCCTTTATGTAGCTGTCAAAGCTATTCAAAACCTAGACCTTCCCCCTACCTTTCCAGGCTTTTACACCACCACCCCAAGCCCCTAATCCTGCTCTATGATCCTGGGACATTTGCCTCTTTGCTGTTCCTTGAAGACCATATTCTATCTCCCTGCTCCAGTCATTTTCTCTGGCTTTATGCTGTGCCTGGAATTCTCTACCTCCTGGCTCCGCTGGCTTCCTTCAATTGCCAGCTAAAATCCCACCTTCTACAGGAAGCCTTTTCCAATCCCTCTTAATCCTAGTGTATTCCCTTTGTTGATTACTTTCTATTTATCCTGTATGTAACTTATTTATACAGAATTGCTTGCTTATTGTTTCCCCCGTTAAATTGTGAGCTCCTTCAGGACGGGGACTGTCTTTTACCTTTCTTTGTATCTCGAGTCTTAGCTTAGTGCCTGGCATATAGGAGATACTTAATAAACTCTTAGAGACTGACTTAACCTTTCAGTGCTCCCAGCCAACGTGCCAAGACTAAAAGTGTATAGCAGTAGTGTAGTGTTAGAGAGAGTGTTCACCCAGGAAGAAATCACCAGTCCAGTAAAAAATTTTGTCGTTCAGTTATGTTTGACTCTTCATGACTCCAATTGGGGTTTTCTTATTTTGGAGTGGTTTGCCATTTCCTTCTCCAGATCATTTTACAGATGAGGAAACTGAGGCCAGTAGGGTTAAGTGACTTGCCCAGGGTCACACAGGAAGATGAGTCTTCCTGACTGTAGGTCTAGTGCTCTATCCACTGCACCAATTCTAATACTTAATGAAGTAGAAACCTGCTTATCTGGTAGTCAAATTTCCACTTATAGCATAGCCTCAAACTCAGGAGTAAGAGAAAAAAGGACTGTGAGAGATAAGAAAAATAACTACCCCAAGAGACTATTATTACATAAATAAAAGAGAGATATAGTCACCCATAGCCCTTCCCCCAGAGTCCCTGACCTTCAAATTGTATGTTAAAAAAAAGAAAAACAACAAACCATAACAGTGTAAAGAGCTTGGTTATTCGGCATCCCAAAGCATTTAGATTTGTGTAGACAATAAAGTAGACGAAAAAAGCACTTGACCTCTGTTTGTCTCAGTTTCCTCAACTATAAAATGGGAATAATAATAGCATATACCTCATGTGAGGTTGTTACAAGGATCAAATGAGATCATATAAGTACAGCACTTAGCACAGCGCCTGGGACATAGTAGACATTGTATCAGTCCTTATTCTCTTCCCTTGCCTTCTCAGAATCATGTTTTTAAATAATTGGAGGAAATGATAATTTTCAGTTAGAGGTTAGTAAAAATAAAAATGTTATCTTTTCCTCGACCGCATTCCTTTGTCTCCTCAAATCTATTCAGGGATTCCTTGAGGATCTGTGAACCCCAGGTTAGGAATCCCAGGAGTACAAAGAACAATCTTGAAGAGATGAAGGATTCATGAGTCTTTCAAGCAGTTGCAACTCAAATCACCTCTATACTAGAAGCTTGAGTGATTTTGCTTAGTATCCAGACCAGTTCTCTGTAACTTGTACACTATAAAAATATCCATCTCTATAAGAATTCCTCACTTTTATTCCTTAGCAAAAGCTCATTTAAAAAAAAAAAAACCAAACCAACTTATTTTGATCTAATCTCCTTATTTTAATTCCCCTTCACTTCCCAACTCAGTCAAAATCAATTGAGAGAATAAATATACACTTGGGGAAAACATTTCTGGAGGGCATCAGGTAAAGGAGGGATGACTCCTTTTTTATGGGATTGAAGGAGAGATTCATGCATTGGATAGGGGATAAGGTCAGTGGTCTCTAAAGGCCTTTGTAGTTCTAGGATTACGTGATTTTACACGTAGGACTTAGAAGAAGCACTATTTTACTTCACTACTTATAGAATGCATTACTCCAAAGCATGATAATAGTATGAAATATAAAGAGATTCCAAAAACACTTTCACAAATTTATGAATAGTACAGACCTAAATGGCTACCTAGGGAAACTGTTATATATCTGATCTTTAAAGTTCATGTCAGAGAGAATAATCACACCCTGAAATTATGGATATAATGTGGGCAACAGAACACTGGACTGGATGGACCAGGAAGGAATCTGACCCAGTAGGGCAATTTCTATATTCCTATGAAGAAGAAAGAAAAGCAAGGCGCCTGGACGATCAACCTTGGATAACTGCGAGTTTTCCACAGCTATACTCTGGATCAAAAGATGAAAATTTCAACTACCAACAAATAACACTTGAATTGTACATTTCATCTTGGTTATATGATTTGGTGATAGTTTCAAATATTAAAGATTTTAGAACTCATTTCTTCCTACTACACAGATTATAAAACTTAGAACAAGATGCAAATTGCAAATTTAGACAAAATGCAATTATTATCTGTCTACCTTAGTGACAAAAAAAACCCCACCAATAGCAACCCTATGCCTTGCGACATGAAATTATCTTAGTAGTGTGTTATCAGAAATGACAACTAAGGAAATTTATTCAGTAAATGCTTTGGATTCATTGTCTCACTGTTTGTGGGCCACACATTTGGCTGACACTATTTATTACCGTGTCAGAAAGGAGCATCTAAAGATGAAAAGGTTCCTTTTATTCCAGCAAATATTTAAAACAATCACCAAATCACTTAGGGTCTTTACACATATTTGCTTAAAACACCAGAAATAATTAATTCACTTACCCACACTCTTCCCACTTTTATATAATCAGATCATTAGGTAACATTTACCTGCCGTCTCTGACACATTGTAGAATGAAACACTATCGTTGCTCCCTTCGGACCATTTAATTGGAATATTCCATTTGTAACTAAAAATTGAAAAAAAAGAAAACCTTGAGTTGTCATTTCAAAGAATCAAGAGAAGTTTTAGAAATTAAGATTAAAAACTTTAAAAATCAACATTCTGAACCTATTTGCCTCAGAGTTAATATCATTGGAAAAGACAGACAATGTAGTACGGATATGAGATTATATTTACAATTCTGTTTTGTTGTACGTGTCATCTGACTGACCATAAGTCATTTCATTGCTCCATCTAGAATGAGGGGATACTTCCCTCAGAAAACAAAAAACGGGAGTGAAGATTGCTAGAATGTTTTGAATAAAATACTTTGTACTTTTGGGAGAAAGGTACCCTTTTAGATTAGCTAGATATATGTTTACATGCAAACACATTTCTTTAAAGTTATTGTTTCATTCAAAGAGTTCAAGATGCTTTAGAAAAATCTATACATTGCCCTCATGGTATCCTGTGAGGAAATGAAAACATTCTTTAAACACTGAAATTAAAGCCTCAAATTTCACGCTGCAGGAAATAAGCAGAGAAAAAACTAACAATAAAACAGAAATACACAGAGAAAAAACCAAAAAGTTCAAAGGAAGACACAGACTGAGTAGTTTTGTGACTAGTTTATTAAATTTAATGTACACTTCAAAACAATATACACTTCAAAAACTAAAACTGTACGCTGTCAGAAGGTCATATTTTCATAAATAATCATCTTTCATTCCTTTCATATTGAAATGTTTGTTCATTGATGATTAAGTTCATGTTAGAAAAGAAAAATTTTTAAATAGACAAGCATAATTTTAAACTATACTATGTGATTCCAAATCATGTGAAATTAGTGCATTGCACAGAAATTAAAAAAAAAAACCCTAAAATAATTAGAGAACAAATGTTCATTAAGTGATTACTATGTACCAGGAACTGTGCAATTGTTTGTTTTTAGTGAAATTACAGTCATCCTAGCAGGCCTAGCTTAGCCTGAGTGAAAAGACTGAGTGAATAGATCCCATTAGATATAGTTAAAAAAAAAAAAAAGACAACCAAAAAAAAAAAACTTTATTTACAGTTGAAAATATAAAAGGTCCGAGATCCTGAATCCATGACCTTTCCTGTTTCTTGATCATGAAGTTTGTGCTTTATAAACATTATCTCACTTGATCCTAACAACAAACCTGGCGGATAGGTGCTATTATTATGTCCATTTCACAGTTTTGAGGAAACTGAGGCAGACAAGTAAATGACTTGCCCAGAATCATATACCTAGTAACTGGGTATCTGGATATGAATTCAGATCTTCCTGATTCTATGCCCTATGCTCTATCCACTGTGTCACTTGGATGCCTAATGAGTTTAGTTAGGTCATTTTAGAGGATATAAAAATTGGCCATTTTAAGACATTTGCCATTTGGTGGTACCAGTTTCCTTCAGTCTCTGTATTTCTACAAAGTCAAAAATGGCCATTTAAGAGGGATTCTTAGACTGGTTTAAAATTTAACCAAAATTTGGCTTTGTTTTATGTTTGTTTTATCTTGTTTTTTATACATAACTATAGGAACAGCTAGGTAGTGCAGTGGATAGAGCATTAGCCCTGGGGTCAGGAGGACCTGAGTTCAAATCTGACCTCAGACATTTGACACTAGCTATGTGACTCTGAGCAAGTCACTGAACCCCAATTGCCTCATATACACACACACATACACACACGTAATTATAAACCACTTTCTAAAAGAGTACAGAGGGCAGCTAGGTGGCACAGTGGATAGAGCACCGGCCCTGAAGTCAGGAGGACCTGAGTTCAAATACGACTCAGACCAAACACTTGACATGTACTGGTTGTGTGACCCTGGGCAAGTCACTTAACCCAGATTGCCTCACTTAAAAAAAAAATTTTAAAAAAATGAAAGAGTACAGAGGGGTAACTTTCACTTTTCCATAACTAGCAGGAAAATCCAAGCATAAAAAAAGTTACCCAATTAAGGGAGCAATGTCATTTTGCCACCTTCTGTTAGAAAGCCATCTTTTTTTTGTATTTATGAAAACATTTTCAAACGATTTATCTATGAAATGCATATGAAGTACTTTATAATTCTAACCATATCTTATGCCAGTCATCATCAGTCTGATTGTCATTGTCATCTTATTTTATTCTTTCCATCTTTATATTTGATGGAAATCCAATGAAAATATTCTCTGGACAAATCATGAATCTTCTATTGTTCTTTTATGAATAGTGTTCAGTGAACTACTGTGTAGATGGATAAAACGATTGATTTGTGTATTGAATAACAGTGTTGAGGTGACAGGCCCATCTTCTAAATCTTTCACATTCACTGAAAACCTCATCAGTATTACTCCAGTAGCAGAAGGAAAGAGGGGATGAGATGTACTTTCCTGGTCCCAGGTGCTTTTGAATTTTTTGATCACTTGTCTATGGTTTTAAAGCTTTTTATTACACTGAATGTTCTAAGTGTTTGGTTTGGCAACATCCATTCACTTATTTCTACATTTTTGGAGGGTCAATGTTCTGTCCCAGTAATGATGAACAATAATTTTTATCTGTGACAATGCTTCAGTTCTACTACAACTTTTTTGCAAGTTTTCCGTAGCTATACTCTAGATCAAAAGATGAAAATTTCAACTACTAACAAATAGCACTTGTATTGTACATTCCATCTTGGTTATATGATTTGGTGATAGTTTCAAATATTAATCAAAGATTTTAGAACTCATTTCTTCCAACCACATAGATTATAAAACTTGGAACGAGATGCACATTGCAAATTTAGACAAAATGCAATTATTATCTGTCTACCTTAGTAACAAAAAAATCAAACACCAACAACAACCCTGTGCCATGTGCCATGAAATAATCTCAGTTGTTTGTTATCAGAAATGACAACTAAGAAAGTTTATTCAGAAAATGCTTTGGATTCATTGTCCCACCGTTTGTGGGCCACAGTGAATAGAACATCGGCCCTGGGATAAGGAAGACCTGAGTTTGAATCAGGTCTTAAACGCTAGTAGCTGTGTGACTCCGAATAAATCTGCCTCAGTATTTTCAACTGTTAAATGGAGATAATAATATCACTTGTCTCATGGGGTTGTTGCAAGGGTCAAATGGAATAATATTTGGAAATCACTTAGCACAGTGCCTGGCATATACTAAGTGATTTAAAATGTTCTCTCAATGATGAAGGAGGGAAGGGAGTTTGGGAGAGAATTTGGAACTCAAAATGGTAAAAAATGAAACTCAAAAATTGTTTTTACATGTAATTGGAAAAAAATAAAATATGAAAATTCAAAAAATGTTTAAAATGCTTGTTCCCTCACCCTGCATTCTCAAATTTTTATGGATTAGCTCTATATCTGGGTGCTATGGGCAAATTCTCAGCCTATAATAATGATCTAGTTCCAACAGAGTTTATTGGTTGAGTTGTCTGAGATATTTTGAGGTCTGAAGATATTGAATAGTATGTAGCTTTCTCATGTCATCTTATAAAAAAAGAGTTAGCTTCTGACATATATGTCCATCCACCAGGACATGTCTTGCTACTTACTGCCTGTGCTTCTTTATATAATCTATACCAATCACTTAGTCCGGATTTCTGAAGGATAACCTCTTATGTAATTTCTGGTGGTGGTAACCTCATCCTAAATTGCCACCATACACCCCTCTTTGAGATACTATGATTCTTTTAAAAATTTATTTAGTATTTTATTTTTCCCCCAGTTACATGTAAAAAAAAATTGTAACGTTCATTTTTAAAACTTTGATTTCCAAATTCTCTCCCTCCCTTCCTCCCCAGATTCTGATTCTTTTGGAGAACTGATTGACAGACCAGAAATCTCACACAACCGTCTCACCATTAGCTGTTTTGTTCCCTTTTCAATTTTTTCAGTGAAAGCCAGTAATGATTTCTTAATCACCTTTTAGCCTTACTTTCTGTGAATTCAACTTGCCACTGCTCTCATCCATTTGATGATAATGTGGCTAAAATGAAGAACTCTGTGTCACGACCAGCAGTTTTTCACCTGCTCATTCAGTGACTTTTGGTTATAGGACATCTACAGACAGTTCTCCTTGGAAGAGCTGCTTTAAGATGCAGTCTACTATCTAACTTGAACCACGTTGAGTCTTTTTTTTTTTTTTTAAGGCAATTGGGGTTAAGTGACTTGCCCAGAGTCACACAGCTAGTAAGCATCAAGTATTTGATCTGAGGGTGGATTTGAACTCAGGTCCTCCTGACTTCAGGGCCGGTGGTCTATCCACTGCGCCACCTAGCTGCCCCCACCACGTTGAGTCTTAAAGAAGGAGCCATCTGTGTATTAAATCCAAAGGTCATGATAACACAAACTACTAGCAATTACATCATAGATAACTTTTTATGGCACCTTAAAGACTACAGAAGGGGCAGGTAGGTTGGTGCAGTGGAGAGAGCACTGGGTTTGGAATTAAAAAGACTCATCTTCATGTGTTCAAATTACTCGCTGTGTGACCCTGGACAAGTCAGTTAATCTTGTTGGCCTCAGTTTCCTCATCTGTAAAATGAGCTGGAGAAGGAAATGGCAAACCAAATCCTGTACCTTTGCCAAGAAAATTTCAAATGGGGTCCCAAAGAGTCAGAGACAACTGAAAACAACTGAACAACAAAAGACTTTATCCACAGTATCAATATCATTAGATCCTGAAAACATTCTGTGAGCAAGCATTATTAAACCCATTTTACAGATGAACTGATGATGCTCAGAAAGGTTAAATAACTTGCTCATTGTCATGTAACTAGTAAGTGGATTCAAAGCCACATCTCTCTTCTTTCTTTATTACATTGCCTTGTGACTTTTAGGAATATGATGAAGCTAAAATTTTATAAAGGGTGTTTCATTCAGTTTTATACCTATGGAATTGTATTGGAATTGGAATTAACTGGACAAGCTAAGTAAAATAAAGGAAAATGACAGACTATCTTCTGGGTTAATTGGATGGCAGAGGCATCGCTGGAGGTAAGCTCCTTAATATTA